TTCCGACCGTTTTGATTAATAAATATTCAGCTCTTTCATAAGATTTTCATTTAGATTGCATAAGACACGTCAATTTGATGGAAGTACCTGGACACATCTTTGATAATGCTTAAAGTCTAGAATACACGAGCTCTTATTAATACAAATAAAAATTTCTCTTGTTGTCATTTAAATATTCTTTTTTTAACATTAATAATATGATCAAAAGAAAACCACAGAAATATCGTGTTGCACATTTAAAATGTCAAAATGTAGGCGAATCTTGTGGGATTAATCTTACGACACAATGTATGTAATGTTCTTAATGCAATCTTACGTTCTGAATGATATTTAATTAAATCACGAAAACGTTAACGATGAGTCTTGAGGAGTCTGTATATATAAGGACACCGTAATGATAGACTGCGCTTTCCTGAAATCATTGACAACGAAAGTGTCCTATCGCCACGATACCGCAAAATAGCGATCGCGAGTCGCCGCAGACAAATAATCAAGTACCGAGGACGTCTGCGCTATGATTATTAATTATTTCCAGCAAGGACGCGCAGCGGTTGCAGTTGATAGAACGCGTTTAAATTGGGTCTCGCATGCAATACTTTGTTATGCAATCAGTTGACAGCGCCAAGTTCAATCGGGTCACTCGCGGTCGCTGAAGAGTTTTTACGTTGTTTACGCGAGATAAAAACAAACTTAAAAAAATGAGGTTAATTAACTATAAATACGTTGATTCTCGGTTTATTTTCAATGAAGTTTTTAATAAAGGCACTGTTTTACTTCATTTAATTCGGTTTAATTCTTAATAGCACTAATTGTTGAATAAATAATCGTTACAAATTTCGTTTCATCTTAATGTTGTCAGGAAATCATCATGTTGTTCCATTTATTCGATGCTCAGTTGGCTTGTCTTGTTTTAGATTTGTATTTTTAGTTATTGGTATTAATATTCGCGATTTAATTTATAACATATATAATCTAGAAAAATAAAATGAATATTTGGAGAGTAAATTATTTCTCTCAAAAAGTTTGAATAAGACGTTAAATATGAGCATATTATGAAAGAGAAATAATGTCAGACACGCTATGCGAAGCTCACGGCAATGCTTTTATTTACCATAATAGTTAGAAAGTTAGCGAATGTAATGCCACGTAATTTGGAGCAGCAGTGCTTCAAATAATCCGCGACATAGTTTAGTTTACCTTTAACGAAACGGTACTAAACAGATATATTGATCTATTTATTATTTTTAAAACTTTAAGATTGTAAGATTATATTACACTAGATATGATATCAATCTAATTAACGGTAGAGTGTTATAAATATTTCAAAAAGGAATTTCTTTATTACTAACGTAATTGTGAATAACACCTAAATTGAAAAAATATACTGATATATAAAAAAAATAATAAAAGGCAAAAATAAAATGTTGCATAATATAGAAGATTTTATTAGTAAATTATTTTACATGTTACTTTAAAAATAATGTATTTTGAAATAAAAAATTTCAGACTTGCAATTCACGAATGTTATTCGATTCTTGCTAATAAAATAATTTGGTCATGTCTACCTAAAGATAGAATCAAAATTAGAAATCAAATAAAGAAAGATTTAAATTTATCGCTTATTATTGATATTTTAAATATTTATAATAAATTTATATAAAATATATTTATATAAACTTGCATAATTATACAGAAATATTTATAACAATCTCTTTTGCAAAAACATAAAGTGAAATTTTGTGCAAAAAATAATTCTAGTTTTTGTAATTATAATAATTATTTACATTTATATAATTACAAAAAATAGAATTATTTTTTGCACAAAATTTCAATAAACAATTATTATTTTATGATATATCGTAACGTCGTTACGTATTTTTTTTACCATTGATTTCCTGTTGTCATGAAGTACGACAGAGCATTAAGCGAGATACACGCCAACGTAACCAATCGACCATCGCAGCTATTTGCTCTAAACCACACTAATTCCCAGCATTTCCCATTGTAATCGGCAAAACTACAGGTTCTACGCACAACCGCGACCTCGGCAATGTCGAACCTTTCGCCGTCGATCTAAACCGACGGCGACGACGTCACGCTCGCTCGAATCGAGCTAAATAAATCGCCGTGGCAAAGTAATAGAGAGTGCATTGCGCTGGGCAACGATAATGACGATATAATATCGTATAAAATCAAATTGATTCCGGGAAACAAAGCTGTAATATATATTCTTATCGAACGGAAAAACCGAACACGCGGAAAGAGACACGAAAGAAGGAAAAGATCGCGTTCGTGTTTATGAATTCATCTGTAAGATGATGTGAGCAGCCACGCTGCACAGTGGGCGAATCAAATGGGGTCATCGTTAACTCTCTCGCTCCCAATACGCAGCTACGTATCTCGGCAAATTAAATTCTCGTACTACCTGCAGATATTTTAAATCAAGACAATAAAAAAGATGGATTGTTCAAGCATTTACATCGATCTTTTTGCAATTTTTAACTTGGAAATGAGGGAGCCAAAAATAGATGCTTGCGTTTACCTTCGTCCGCATGGCGCGGCGCCCAGCACTCCGCGCGAAGGATCATCCAGAGGATCGATCCTGTCGCTCCGCGGGTATCCTTGCTTTTTATCCTTGATAATTTGCGTTACTCTTTCACTGGACGCTACACTCGCCTCTCGCTTTTCTTTTCCCCCGTTTTTTTTCTTTTCTTTTTCAATCGTCATGTTGTCTCCAGTCGCGTCATAGAGGCCTTTTTTGCACGAACGACTTTATCGTCCCCGGGCGGGTGCGCATTCGCGATGAAAACCGGATCCGAGGGCCACGTAAGTATGCGTCTTGTCACAGAAAGTATCCGCTCGAAATCACTGCACTTTGGTGCGCGATCGCTTAAAGTGGCGTTGATACGACTGACTTTTAGATCGCGCCTGTCTGCACGCGTTTATTATAGCAAACTGGACGAGTTCCAACTACTTATTGTTAATAGATGACGTTAGTAAAGGATACAGCAAATATCGTTTTGAGATGCAAAGAATTAATGTGATAAGCTATTTTCTGTATCTCTCTCTCTCTCCTCTTATCTCTCATATCGATCTAATGTAGTATTTTACGCCTGACAGGTACATCTAGATGCGTGCGATGCAAACGAGAACTTTCTTCATTACTGTCGATGATATTAGCAGATTAATGTAGAAACGACTAATATATAATAGAAGCTGCAGAGAAAATTAAATGAGACATCGAGATCAAATAAAAAAATTGTAGTTGAAGTTTTAGATACTCATGTTTACGTCATTTTTCATTTGCGCAACGTAGCAATCTTGTAACAAAGTGCTGAAAGACTAGCAATAAGTCATGCTAACTTATTATCTACACTGACTTTTCCGTCCACATTTTTAATTTTAACGAGTAGTGTGCTCGCGACCATTTAATTGCCGGAAGCTAATCGATTATGAAAAATGCGAATAAAAACCGTTGCGAATTTTTTATCAACTGACTGAATATGGATAAGTCTTTTTTGTGGGCCACTAACCGAATATCTGCGTTGGCATGTATCGCCGTCGTCTGCAGCCACTTTCTAAAGTGATTAATATAAAGTACTTACACACACCGACGTGATATAGATATCCGATGATGCGATCACTTTCAATCATTTTATGAAACGAACGAAAGACTAGAAATATTATCTGCTCTCAATTGCTCAATATATTCAATAAGTTTTCTATGAAAATCAGTATTACCAGAATAAATGTACAGGGTGAAAGGTAAAAAGATCGAAAGCGTCCGTGCATGAACGGTCTGCGCGTTGGAAAAAAGTATATATTTACTCTGTCACGTAAAAAAAAAAAATAGGTATCTGATTTGCGTTACGCCCAGGCGATCGCATAATTTCTGATTGAGCCGCCAACACACCTCGCGCACATCCTTGACACCATCTGCCTAAAGGATGTGCTAAAGGTCGGCACCGACGTACATCCTGATGTAATACCAGTAGACGTTTAATTTCGCGACAAAAGCGCGCAACGATTTCCACGAAATGCTCAAAGTGGAAGTCGGTAGCAACGAACTGCGTGTATAAATTTGTTATTTTTTTTTTACAAGAAACCTTTATCCAAGTAATGTATTCTCTAGTTGACACCATTTCTTCGGCTGGCTACTTTGTAAAAGTGAACTTGAAGATCCTGTTACTAAAAGCGGCAAGATGAAAGTATGTAAGAGGAGTCAGTCGACGGTCGCCGAGATCTTTGAGGCGAAAACGATCGACTTGATAAGGAGAACACTGCAAGACGACTTTTCGTCGGTCGCGATGTGAACTGATCGAAAATAATACCGACGATAGCGTACGTGTGTTTTTGTTACGTCGAGGATGAACATCCGCTTTAGCAGGAAATACGCAATCGCGTATATTGCGCAAATCCATAAATCATGCTCCGAGATTACGAGGGTCTCAAAATTCCCCTGAGTGGTGAGTTCACAATGTACACGACGATGATGAAGAACACGTTTGAGAGTTTAACAGAGACGAACATTCTATAACCGTGTCCTTGAATGAATCCGGAGTGATTCCAGTTGACGATAGACACTAGCAAATAATCTCGGCCTTGACTCTTGAAGAGGCCAAAGCCGCGTCAGCGTCTCGACGATCGACGACCTGCGGAACCGCAGCACGATCTGCAGCAGCACGGACCGATCCATCATGTTGAATCCTCTATCAAGCCGTTGTCGATCAAACGTGTCGAAAGGGATCACTGAACCCCGCGTTCGCGTAGCTACGGCGCGAATCCAAACTTCCCGGTTCTCGCAAATTGTGGTTCCCGTCGATCCAAACGTTTCTCAAGACGGAGACAAGTCGATCGCAGTGCTCCATACGGTGCAAAAATCGATCTCCATTGGAAAGTAGAGCGATTGCACGTTGGCGCGGTATCCCATACGCGATACGAGACGTTTCGAAGGTGATAGATACGAGGACCAGATTGTTTCCGCAAGCACCAAGACTTACCCGTCCCCATGGCTGACAGCAGCAGCCTCCTTCCGCCTCAATCCCTCCGTGTATCCAGGATGCAATCTTGGCTGAATTTGTGTTTCACTGCGCGAGGAAAGAAACCAAAAAAAAAAATTACGACCACGATGGGCGATGCGGGAAGGACGACCTCCTCGTCCAGCCGGGAGACCGCGGACGAACTGGTACCCGGAGAAGACTTTTGGTGAGACTCGGACGTGAGACAACGACGACGTCATCGCCGGCCTGGTGTCTCATTGGCCGACCGTCCTCTTGGCTCTTGGTTGCTTCGCCTCTCTCTTTCTGAGTGCTCCCTTCCTCTCCTTTTCCTTCTACACGAGAACTCCTCTCTCGCCGCTTACGTACACGTTCCTCTCCCTCTTTCAAACCCTCCTCCTCCTTCTCTCTCGCGCGCTTATTCTCTCACCTGTTCTCTCTCGCGCTTTCGCGTGGCCGCCCGAGATATTTCCGTCTCGCTCTGTTGCACTCCCACGACAGGACTAGACCCCGCGGTAGAGCCACTACGTGCGCGAAGTCAGTGAGCTCAACGCCTGGAACCAATCTTCGACTTGCACGAAGGTCTGTATAAGGTATATACGCGAGGCACAGATAGCCGCGGTTCAAGTGTCTCGCTGGATAGACGATACTGTAGGTAAAGGTCAGTTAGCGTTATCTCACGAAGGTAGACCGAAGGCGCTTCATGTATATTTAGAAGGTTAACGGGTTACCAGACTTCAAACCCTTTGGTTTGCTGGCTGAAAAATCCACATACTGTAGCAACCTTAGAATGTTGAACATAACAGCGATTATTGTCGGTATACTACCTTAAAAGAAGTATGAACATGCCGTACGAAAACATTCTCGATAATCTGCATTATTTCTTTAAAGTATAATATTAAAATAACTTTGAAATTTCTAGGGAAATCCAATTAATCCAATTATTAAATGATAAATCACGCAATCTGAGTTTTATTTCTGAAAATTAATTTGCACTCGCTGTGTACAATTTAACGAAGATGATATCTCGAAGATGATATGAAGAATACAATAAGATCAGGAGGCATGGAATGAATTACGAAAGAGTTATTAACTATGTATTAACAGTAAGATAGCGCCGGATGAACGTTGCTCACAAATGCTATCAATGATTGCTCTAAAAGAATCGTTGATATTATCTTCAAAGCAACGGACATCCTTCCAGAAAGGGTCAACGATACTGGTTGAACCAGATAATGATTAGATACGAACTGAAGTCCGTTCGCCTGAACACTGCAGCTATATGAAATTTACATTCATCTTTGCATCGAGTATAATTTGCTCATCAGAATGATGCTATACAAGGTAATTTAAAGTTACGGTTCAGTCTTCTGCCACATAAATGCATAAAAATCAATGACTGAAGCAAATTATCAGTGATGTAATGGCATAATTAGTGAAATATTAAGTGATATTAATGATCATTGAGTGAGCGTTTTCCAGAAAATGCAGGAGAAAAATAATCTATTTAAATGAATTTCAAAATTGTAAAAAATGCTATCGAACGACTTTAAATATATAATAAATATAAATGCAATCGTACGAATTTGTATGAATCGGAAAAGAAATAAAGATTCGTTCGTATAAGACTTAAATGTCATGTACTATACGTCGGTTAGTAAATAAAGGACTGGGTTGCAGACAGAATCGTCACTGCCTGCAGTAAACTGAATAAACAGATCGTTGCTTGGATTCACGGAAGCTAGATCTACCGAGAGTCTCATGGATCGCTGCTCGATGCCTCAAAAGATTGCACCGTGCATTACGGATCGTTACGCCAATCTGCGGAAAAGAAAAATTCATAGGATCTAGGGAGATGTTAACGTTTCTATCATGAATCCTTATACATTGCAGATCTGAAAGAATGTCGCTTCTGCATCTTGTATTACTGCTGAGATCAGAAGAACGAAATCTTAGCTAACACCAAGATTATCGCAGGAATATCCAATTCGATCATACTTTCAACTATCGCGCGCTAAAAGAATTTCATTTTTCTTTGAAATAATTAAAAAGAAATTTAGATTCTCAGCTGTTTTCTTTTCCAAGTTGCGTTTAGCTCTATTTAGAGTAGGAACTATTTAGAGGAGGAACTTGAGATATCAAAAAACGAGCGAATAAAATCAACACGATTTTAATGGAATTGAAATTATTTTATCTTTAGATAAATTTGAAAAAAATCTTGAAACAATTTCAAAAGCGTCTCTTATCGTTTTCTCCTATTTATTATCTACGCAAAACTTTAATAACGATAATGAACGGATTTCAGTTTTAATGACACCGTAGCCTGTAGAGTCTGCAAGCGCGATAGTGTCGGTGAACCCGGGACGCCTCGGGGTGTTTCACAGGCGCGGGTCGCGAGAAGAATCCGCGGTACATACATGCGCAGGTATACACAGTTTGCACCATTATGTTTAATTTATCGCGCGCACTTCTACACATGGTTTGACCGATTCGAGAGAGTGCGAGAACCTCCGCACGGTCCCCACGGACAATTGGCGTTATGAATAAACATCTACACGCTGCCTCGAAGCTCTAATGAACGCACTGAATAACTCGTCGTGCGAAGATACCTATAAACATGTGCTTCCTAAAATTTCCAACGTTCTGCGCAATGTAGATTCCGTGACTGCAGGAAACGCCTCGAGGAACGGGTTAATTTCTAAACGAGGGCAAGCGCTTTTTGCACTTTATTTTGCACCGAGAGAACAATGCTAAGAGTGAATAAATATTGAAAAAAAAAAAAAATATTGTTCTGATTTTTTCTCTCTCTTCGGAGACTATATTTTATGGTAGAAATTTATCGTACATCAAAAAATATTTATGAATCATGTGTAGAAAATTCGGTTATCGGTTTATATTTAACATTTCTTTGCTGACTCACTTCCATTTTCTTCTCCTCTCCCTCTGTTTCTTTTACGATCATCTTGAAGTAGTTATTCTTACGCTTACTCATCATTTCTGAGGCACAATTATTCTTATAAATTAATTGGGTTCAAAAAGTCGTTTGCCTTACATGATTGGGATTGCTTTTTTTGTTCTGTACTCATGCATTAATGGTTCCGCGCGCACATTATTATAAAGCTTATAGCGATCACGAACACAGACAATATGAAGAATATAGAAGATATTCATACTTTTTTCTTGGCTTAAAATTAAAAATATTAATTAACATTTTATTGCATTAAAATTATCTTTGACCATTAATCGATCAATGAACTCAAAGATTCCCTTTGCATAATAAACGTTTTAATCGTTTTTTAGATCCTGTGCTTGAGGTATGCTAAACTCAATTCAGAATTTTTTTTATTTGAGTTAAAAACCTGTGATGCGAGAATATAATACTCTCCCGTGAATAAAACTTTAATGAAATAGATAATCACTATGGACAGTGATAAAGTTACACCTCGCTACTTACGAAAATGAATCGGAGAATTTGTACATTTTATTGATGTGTTTCGCATTCTACGTATCGTATCGAACGAACGTTATTAATAATCGTGATCGGCATATTCGTGTGGTTCTCCATGTTCGAGATTGGTATTCTTATTTATATTTAACTTTACGTTTACTGTCAGACACGAGTATCTCGGCTTTGAATTTTGCTCTTTCAAACAAATGTTGTAGTAAAGAAAAAATCTGCTGTTATTTAGCGCAAAGAATGCGCGATAAAAGAAGATACGGACCGAAGTGTATCTACGGCCCTGCCAGAGGGTACCTTCCGAACGCGCCCGATGAATTCCTGCGAGACGCGCTCGCAAGCCGATTCCTGCTAGTATGGGTAACGGGTTCGCGACGGAGCACATTCATTTCGTATTCCCTTCGACGACGCGTCTCATCCGCCTCACCGAGACCTGCGAACGGCCAGCGTCGGCAGCTTCGACCTGCCGGCGATCGGCTCGATCGGATTTCAAAAGCTGCGGCGGTGGTTGGGCGTTTGTTGTGAAACCACCTTGCAAACAATCACCACCGGTGTTTTTTAGAGCACGCGTCCGCGAAACGAGATGCAGTACGCTACCCTTTAAACGCATATCTCATGATGGAACCAAGATGACTATGATTCTTGAAAAAACTTGAAGACTAGACTGTAAAAAAATACATTTCCTTTACTTATTCATCATCAAGATAATTTTAATTATCACTTTCTTTGGCTTTCTCTTTTGCAAAATGACAAAATGCTGCAAGAACGCTTCAAATTCGCACGCCTTTCCGTAAATGACATGACAAATGTAACGTTCGTATATTGAGAGATAAGGAAGAACAATTTTACCGTACCTAATTATCTAAGTGCGCTAATGGCACGTCGCACCGACGATGACCGCATTGAAATATAAGCAAACGAAATTTATAATTTATACGTCCACATTTATCAGCGTAGGCACGTGATTACGCGAGGCGGGGATAAGCATAAACTCGTTGGCGCGGCGATGAGAGATCTCGTTCCTCTTTGCTTACACGCGGTATCACGCCGACGAGATCTCGTCTTAACGTCGCGCGCATTCCGCGGGGTCCTTTATAATACAAATAATTATCTACGCAGCGATAGACTCGCCGCGAATCGTCGCGCGCGGCTATAGAATAGCGGCGAAACAGCAGGGAGGAAAGAAGAAATACGCAATTACTGGCAGATATATTTATCGTTCGCAAGTAAGCTAAACACTTGGTCTAAGCGGTATTTTCGCCGCGCCGCGTGCATCATACCGATAGCACACGGTGTGCGTGCCAGGTTGGTTGTAGAACGTGGTTTTACCGTGATAATTGGCCAATTTGCGAATGCGGCGCTGGGCACGCGTCTGTCTCCCGGCGCAGTGAATGATCGCCGCCGATCCGTTGATTCATCATCGCGTTGCGCAACAATGCGAGCCGCGTACGCATCGCAACATCCGATAATACGCTTCTTTCCGCGAGGCGCGCGTGCAACAGGAATTCCTAGATTAACCGATGCCGTAACGTGCTGACGATAAGGCCGAACAATCTCAAGCTATTTAAACGAGTGTCACGTGCGAACGTCGAGCGAGGGAAATACATAAACATCAGCAATCGACGCGACTAAAGAAGAATTAAATCAAAAATTTCTCTTTAAACATGTTTCTTTGCACGTAAATTGCATTTATTATTTTATCGTTTGTCAATTTATCGAATTGATTTAAAAAGGAAAGAAAACTGAGAAAATGCTGAGAAAAAGGCATTATTAGAGAAACCAAAAATCGCGTCTCCTTTTCTTCACGTTCGATTATTATGTGTACCGAATCCAAATTAGCATGATTGGCGCCGACGGGTTATTACGTATATCCTTTTTTCTACTAGAGAGTTATGACGGCACTCAAAAGCGATGATGACACCACATAAGTCAAGAGAGCATATCTGCATCCAAGGCGACATTCTTAGACCGGGCGTTGAAATCACCGCGCGAAGTGACGTCGACCAGTCCATTCACGTCGGGCGTTGAAGTCACCGAAAGAGTGACGGGCTCAGCAGCCGTTCACGCTTGTCGAATGTCCCGCAAACAATTAACGACCCTTTTTTCTTTTCATAATTTATTGCATCGTGCTGTTGTGTAAAGGCTATCGGAATATTGAGACAAACGAGACGAAGGATCGCTTGGCGAAAAGCGGTCGCGGCATGTACGGCAGACTCAGGGCGCCTAAACGGCTATGTTCATCACTGCAGCGTCGAGTTATTCTTAACTAGAATCAACGACCGAAGGATTCACGGACACGATAGATATACGGCAACGGATCCTTCAGCTCGCGGAGCTACGCCGCGTGACGGAAGCTCAGGAACGGAAGCCACTTTACTTTCGGTTCTCAATACACCTCATTATCCGCCGTGATGCGCATTAACGACTCTATCCCGTGGTTACTTCGCTTGCGTAATTATTCGCTTATCCTCGTGGCGAGCACTCGTTTACTGCCTTCTTAATTTCATTCCCTCACTATGATCGTAGTCTGACTTCGCAGCTAGTCAGCGCGAATTTCCTTACACCAAGAAAGGAAAATCTTATCAAGGAAAATAGATAATTTTATATACTCGTACTTTATATTAAGTTGATTTTCCTCTGGGAAATTATACGTTTGAAATCTTTTTTCTCTCTGTTTCAAGACATTATTGCTTCTCGATTTTCATAAAGAATAAGACGAGTATTCTTCTCTCTTTTGTTATTTTTTTATCTCTTTCTTGAATTATGTTTGTGCAACTAATTGCAGGAAAATTGAATCGGAGAAATATTTAAATTTTCTATATTTAACTCTTATTAAGAAATTTAATTATTCGGACCATTATTTTCAAAACGTGTAAATAAAGATAAGTCTTTTCTTATTAAAAAAAAATTAAAAACATAAATTCTTTGGGAAACGCTTATGCTGCTCGCCAACTTTAAAATAAAAAAATTATTTTATGTAACATACATTTTTTCGGTGAATATCGCAACAGTCCCAACTTGATTCATTTTGGCGGGTGAGCTCTTGCAACGTTTCAGAATGAAGTACCAGAAAATTGCACGAATGACACTTTCTCCGAAATCAGCGGCTTCGCCGAGCGGAGTTTTCGAGACCCTCGACATTTCGCAAGCCTGGTGTATTATGACTACGTGGGCAGTCGAATGTCCATACGCGTCCCACGCTGTCCTCCACATCTCGCCAAATCGAGTGCCGATATTTTCTTTTCGGAGAAAAAGCTCGAAATGACGCAAAGACGTCGTTGACAACTGTAATCAATTCCTAAGAAAATGTACGAATCCTGCAAATAAAATAAATGTCGCAAAAAATAAATTTCTTTTAGAAAGAAAGAAAAAATAAGTTTATTATTCTGGAACATGTCTGTACAATAACTTCTTTTTCTGTAACGATAAAAATAAAAATTTGTAAAGAAGCAATCGAAATAAGAAACAAAAGGTAAATATAGGAAATAATGAGAAATAAAGAATCTACAGATAAGTTTCAACTTTTAACGTAAAATAATATTTTGGCATGCAATGTTCTTGAGAAAATGCAAAGATGAAGCAATCACAGAAATAATCAAATTTTGGAAGAATGGAACTTATTCTTGACGTGTTAAAGTAAATTAAAATAAAACAGTTTGAAGCAAATTAAAATCGTGACGCCATCGTTGATAATTAAATTAACCCGTCCTGCCTAATGGATCAGGATATTTATTCTCTCGTCGGTTTCACGTAAAAGGACGATATGGGCGTATCCTGGCATTTGCTGCGGCGCCGAGGCCGCGATTTGCGGATCCGTAACAGACGGCCGATGGAGCGTTGTCGAGGTCACTCGAATCGATAGGATGCTTGAAAGACTCAAGAAAGAGAGAAAGAGCGCGAGAGAGACGATTAGGGTTCTCTCCTAAGATTCTCACACGCAAGTTCCTAAGGGCAACGGATATTTTCAGGATATGCCGCGATGAAGATGGGTTGGAACAGGAATAGCGAGAATGACGTAAGCGCCCAATGTACCAAGCAGCGCACGCATACACGCGCACGCACGCACGCACGCACGCACATGACACACGAACGAATAAGCCTGCGCTCGTTCTCCCGCGTTAGTTCCTCGTCATCGCGACGGCGAACATCGGTTCAGTCACCACTGCAAATAACCGAAGAAATCGATGCGACCGGCTCGCGCGATGTTTTCTTCCCGTTCGAGGCGTTCCCATCCTAGCTGCCGCCAACGTAATTCATTACTTTGCGAGAATACACGCGCATGCCGGACGAGCGTGAAGAATTTACGATCGGAATTAAAGTAAATTAATCATTCTATCGTTCATCTTTTTCTTCTCTGCATTAAAGCGAAGAAGCGCGATGTCTTGAAAATTCAAAAACGATGCGGATCGGATCGGATGGAATTTCTCAGCATTCCTCATGTGATCCAAAGAAACTCATGAATAAACATCAATAAAGTGTCGCTTATCCGGACTGATCTGTATCAGAATACATAAGATTCATTGTGCGGATTGAAGATTAACGAAGAATGTTGGGAATGAGCGCAAGAGAATTATTCCAGGAGACTTTGGAAGCGATTGAACGCAGGCGACAGCCGCAACGGGTTGCGCGAAAAGAACGTGCCTGGCATCCAAACTTGAAAGAAGTTTGCGCGTCGCGCGTTGAGTGGTGCGCGGCGAAAATTGCAATGACACGTGAACGACAACGGTGAATCCGATCCTTACTTTCGCGGAACTATAAATATAGTCGGGCAAAAAAATATTCTTACACCTGCGCCGATGTCGGCTGTACTGCGCGAGAAATAAGACGGAGAAAGGAAACAATCAAGTGAAAAATGTATAAAGCAAATATAAAGTCATTAGAAATTTCCTTGATAATTGTTATCCACGATTATTAATTACGATTCTCGAAAATATCGCGTTTAAATTTAAAATTATCTTCGAATTGTTGATGAATTTGTAATCGAATCTCGACTTTCAGCGATATTTCGAATATATCAGGACGTGCTCTCGGTTATTAATAAACATAAAAATGGGAATTCGTTATGTAGAAGTATGTAGCTCCAGAAACACGTTTCAGAGTTGCATCCCACTCGCGGCGTCACACCGGAGGCTCGATTCAAGGTGATGCGCGGCTGGTACGCGGAGTGCGGCCGGATGCACCGGCAATAATGTATCCGCTATCAAATGACTCTGTCCTTCGATAGACTAGTTCGCATAGGTTCGCCTAGCGAAAGTCACGGGGATGATCGCGGGCGCGATGATATCGGCGATCTAATAGGAGAAACGTGTCCTATTACAAGCAGCCTTCCACTCTGCAGTTCCTCAAGATCAACGTACGACCTCTACCGCGTTCGTGGGAGATCGGCGAGACGCGAAGGAATTTTTATAGAGGCATGGCGCAACAGGAGAAAAATAAATGGCGTTAGAAGAGAGAAGATTCTTATCGAGCTCAGGCTTACACCACACCGAAAATCCGAAATCTAAAATACACCGGAAAGAAATAAAATCTTAAATAAATCACTTAAATGTCAGACGTTTATAATATCGATGATTTTGAATTTCACCGATCTCTATAAAGGTAAATGGCAGTCGCGATCTGACTCGTGCGTATAGAAAGTTTTGCGTGGGCCAGTGTACGTGGGTGAACTGGCCTTCAAAGTCCTTCGCTGAAAAAGACCACGACCGTCAAGCGCGTAGGCTTCCGGTGGGAGGACTAGATAAAAAGCATCTGCCATTATACATAACTGTATCTATCGATTCTCGGAGAAACTAATCTCGTACGAGTCTCTGCATCCTGTAAACTGCAATTACTTAATATATTATACCTCATTACAGAATATATCATAGCTGATTTAAAAAATATATATACGTAAAAACAACGTCCATTCGAATAAAAAAATTTAATATAAACTTGCAGCTACTTGCAGCTGATACGATAATCGTAACATATTAACATGTTAGATGAAAATTAAGATGAAATACACATTATAATATTTCTTATTTTTATTATTCTTGTTATACTTATTATCAAATAGGAGATGGAATTATGGAGAATATATTTTATTTTGCATTTAAGTAATTGTTATTTTATTTGATAGATTTATTTCTATTTGCTTTCCGTTGCTCTTTTCGCTTTTCCTTTTCCTTAGTATCATGGATACGCCTCTTCTTTCGCAAGAGCCAAATTTCTTTAGCTCTTTCTTCTCGACCTTTCATCATACTCTTATACAATTTGCGATGTTTCTTCTTAATCATCTTTTCTCTGAGACGATATTCCTGCTTTTCCAGCCGGGCTTTCTCCCATGAATTTTCCTTCGTGATCTCACCAGTTTGTACTTTCATCTTCTTCTTCTACGAATTTATAAATATTGAAAATTAATTTTCTCTAAATTATTTCAAGAAATAATTATAAAAAAATTGTAATTACAAAACCTTTTCTAATTGAGCTTGTTTCTTCAGTTTCTCTTTCTCCTTTTCCTCAGCAATCTGTACATCATTATTGTCATCCTCTTCTTCCGCCTCCATTTCCTCAGCTTCGCTTCCTGAACTCAAATCGTCCTCAGCTTCAGTTTTCTCTTCTTCATTCTCGTTCTTATCATCGACATCTTCTTCTTCTTCTTCTTCTGAATCTGCTTCCACTAGACGAGAAATCAAATATAAATTAGATAGAATTCTATCTTTAATTTCAATATATATATTCATTCAAAATCAAAATCTTACAATTGTTTAGTTTATAATCAGGATCCATGAGAGCACGTTCTTCCGGAGGAATGTAAGTTTGGTCTTGTCGACCTTCTGTAAATGGTGAGAGATGAGGAGGAAGTACAGCACCCATTAAGTATTTTTCTACAGGTAATAATTCTCTTGCATTCACACTATCAAAGACCCACTGTGGTTGTACGTAATATCTAAAAAAAAAAAGTTACATTAATAACTCAGAAATGTTGTATATGTAAACAAGAACTTTAAAACGTAATAAATTAATATAAAACCGATATAGTACCTCGATATGTACTGTTTAACCATGCTTGGTCTATCTACAATCTGATGAGTTATTGTTTCGTCATTCTCGTCAAAAGTGGCTCCGACAAAGAGTAACTTATCCCAAGATACTTCTCCACCAAAGCAACGTAAAATAAATACTAGTGGCTCTCTGGGAACTTCCCTATTAATAAAAATTTTTGTGCCTTTAAATAAATTCTTCAGATTCCGTATTTTTTCAGCTTCTGCCTTAGCAGCTTCTATCTTGGTAGCGTCTGTCTCCTAAAAAAATATAATTAATAATATATGTAAATTTTATCTCTATATAAAAATATCAACTCTAAAATTAGCATTTTAAATTTACATTTGAAAATTGATCTATTTCAATATTGTCATCCTCGATCGTTGGTACTGAAGAATCTAAATTGACTAAAGAAACATTTAATGCACTTATTCTCTCGGAGACATATGTTTCTTCATCAACCAATGTTTTTTCAGTATTTCCTGTATAATAAAATATTTAATTTTATAATTAATGTTCACATTTTAAATAATAATATATTGGTAATTTGTATTTATAAGTTTTACTTACCAGAATTTGTCAATTTGGGAGGATAATGCAAATTCAGAGTATGATACAATCTAAAATTCACAAAACCAAGCATCACGATGTAAAATTCTACAAACGTAGACATGACTTTGAAATCAACATCGTTCTTTGTTTGGGGTTCGAAACAGAAGTGGTGCGGTATTATCCATGTTATCGTTTGCCCTTTTATCTCTGCCTGATAGTAATATCCTTTAATGGATACAAATACTTTGCGCAATGCTTTGGCGGTGATGACAGCATGTAGAAATTCCATCGTTAATCTCCTACACAATAATGACTGATCTCTCGGTATATGAGGCAATGAGGGAAATGTACTGAATAAAAAGCAGAGAGTCAGACAGTCGTCTAAATCACGCAATGCATCTATGAACGTTGGATAACGCTCCTTGACTATGTGATCTATCTTTAATGTAGGATGGTTGCTCAAATATCTCTTTACTTTGGCAAAATCTTTCATTGCCTTCGCTCGTCCAATTTTTCTGTTAAATATCTGAAAAACACATGCTTATAAAACACAATACCGTAACATTTGATTCCACAATAAGTTATACCTTGTATTCCCTTAATTTCCATATGATTGGTTCGTGCATTAAAAACTGAATATCCTTCTTGTGATATAAGGTTTTAATGCCGGGCTCTCCCTTCTGCGCTCTTTTACGGTTGCGTGGCTCCCTTGGGTATATGCCTTTCAATATGCATAACTTACGGAAATCATTCAACGTCAATTGTAATTTTCTGAGCGCAGCTCTCCTGGTCATAAACTGCGCTCCCTCGCCACTCTGATACTGTAAATTTACAAGATATCGATTGTAATACAAAAAAATATCGCTCCATTGAGTTCCCATAGAAATTTTAACATAACCTCTTTCGTCTATTCGTCCATTAATAAGGTACATTATATTAAATTTAAAAAAATCCACTCACCTTCTTTTTACCTATTACAACCATTGTAATATATTTTATATTTTATAACTAAATACTAAAAAATAACACGCCGACATGTAAAATACGTAAAAAAATATACGCAACACGTGCAAAGAACTCAAATCCTTCTATCAGAGAAGAGAGAGTATAAAGAAACTAGAAGATGAACGCGAAAAGTATGTATCCCATGCATGGACACTGATTGGTTAACGCTAGTTATGTTACTTTTTAATATTACTAGCAATTTCTGATTGGCTGTTACTGCGCATTTACGATAAATTGCAATGTCCCTTTCAAGTATCGATGCAGAAACCATATATATATTAATTTATTTATACATATGTATATATATACGTACTGTTGTATATTAACAAATTTATATTACATATATTTCTGCATTAATGTAAATTATATTACATTTATATCCGTAAATCTTCCCAGCAGGCAATACCGTAAAATATTATACCCATAATGTTATAATTTGTTTCATGTACGAAATATGTATATAATATACATAATACAAATATTTATAACGTAAGGCATATTTATAAATAAAACTTCTTTAAAATGCATCGTGCAAAGTGATTTAAACTAAAATGCAAAACTTATACTTGAGAAATAAATACAAAGATTACTTTTTCTTTTTACTACTAATATGATATTTTTGATTGCGCACAGCACAAATATATACAAAATCATTAGCATATTGATAAGTGCTTCTAATCTTCTTCTGAATCGCTACCATTCTCGCTCTCGTCTTCCAACTCTGGCATGGGAAAACGCAATAAAGCTGCTATCCCAGTTAATTGATCTAGTTCTGAAAACAGAAACATAATTTCGTTTTAATACAAATTAACATATTAAAAAACGCAATAAGTATGTTACAACTTATTAGGAACTTTATATTTTGCAAGTTTAAGATTAATGATTATTTATATAAGACTCACGTTCACCCGAGACATGCAGACTCGAAAATATTTTGACATCGCCACCCGAGTCTTTCACATTTTCAACCAGCTCAACATATTCCTTTCTCAGTGCTACGTCTTGACATCTGAATATAATTGGAAACATAAGTGTAAGAAATATATTATAAAAATTAATATTGAAATAAACATCAGGACAATAAAATCACCTGAATAATTTATCCGATATAAGCAGAGTTTCCACTGCTTGAGCAGCGCTGGCTTTTTCAACATGTTTCTTGCCATAAAACGCTCTAGCAGGATCCATCTGCAGAGTATTATAAAATGCCTCCAGAGCTCTTACTTCTCCTGCTGCTTTGGTATCGGAAATTCGGGAGATTACAGCAGGATCAGCTAGAACCTCTGTTATAATGATGAATTAGAGTAAATACAAAAGAAATTAGAGGAAAGACAAAATAATTAAATATTTTTTAAAATATTATGCTCGTACAGATTTTACAGATATGTATACACTACCTTTTAATGAATGTTTAAAACCCGAACTAGAGTGAACCAGCAAAAATTTACTTTTATTATCTAGGATAACTTTGTTATCAGATTTAACAGCTTGTTGTATCATATAATCCATAAACTGATCTTTCACAAAACCAGGGCTGGCAAGAATAACGCATTTCACCAGATCGAAATTGATGTGTCTTAATATGCCTTGCATAATGCTCTCATAAAATCGTGCCAAGCCCTAAATATATATCACGTTAGAAAGTCCTGATTATGCTTATTTATATAAAATATTTCCAATACTGGCCATAACATTTCTCAAACCTTTTCGTGTTGTGAAACGTTTCCTTTCCTCTTTCTTGGTATAACTTGATCAATCTTTGTACGGACTATTGTCATGTTAGAAGTTATCAAACAAATTTGTGCTATACCTTCTTGCATAATGGCGGCAGCCACATCAGCATTCTAAAACAGGACGAAAAAAGTTATAGCTAAATAATTAAAAAGTATAGCTATAATTTTCGTCTTCGAAAATCTTTAACCTGTGCAGGATCACATGCAGTATCAACTCTTTCCAAGGAAATAGAATCCCATTTAGCTTTAGTAATACTAAATTTCCGATTTTGTTCAACATCTAGTGTGTGATATGCTCCTGTCTGTAAAGAAAAAAAAATAACATTCAAATATAATCACAAATAAAGCTTTTTACTAATTTAGTATTTAAAGAGATTAGTGCTAAGTATGCATACAAATAGAAGAACAAGATTTTGATAAGACAAGATCCCATAGTTGAAACTACTATTCTATACCACCACACTGTTTAGATGGTTTAAAATATATTTAGGTGAGTCAATTCTCTACTCGAATACTATGTGTTGATATAATGTAAATAATAATGTAGATAAACATTTTTATTTTAATTAAACATACAAAAATTAATTAGATTGCTTTCATTTGTTTAATATCAAGAAAATTCATTGCAAAATCTTGCAAACTGCGTATACTTTGAGAATGTATAATGAATACGTAGCACTGTAAGAGATATTTCTTTAAACATCAATAAAAGTTGACTGCAAATTAAAATCTAAGTATCATTTAACTTACCTTAACGTATTTATTTTCTTCCACATTTCTACCTTTGAGACGTAGAACACACGCTTGCGTATCAAAATCAATATTTTCTACACATATTGTTAGAGTAGTTCTGACTCTATAACTGTTAGAGCTACCAGTTGCAGATTCCATTTGCACTTTCCTAAATTAAATATAGAGAATTAACAAAACGATATCAATTAAAATTAAATGTGATGTTATAAAAAAATATCAGTACATAAGGAATATACCTGATAGTAGAACAGCTTACAAAGTCTCCTTCGCTAATGAGATTATAGGCATGCCACATATCCTCTGTGTTTTCAGGGACAAGAGATACACGCCTAAAGATCCATTAAATCCAGTATTTAGTTTTAAGCTTATATAATATACCGCATACATAAAGATTATATTATACATCATATGAATTATATATATTTACCCTTCTCCATCTTTATCTACGTATCTTGATACTAGCTTCATCTTGAAGAATATTTACCTTAAATACAAAAGAAAACATAAAGTATACATATATTTTGTATAAATGTCAAACATTTGTCATTATTAAGAATTTATAAATTAAATTGGATAAATATAAATCTCCATAAAACTTTTATTACATAAAAATATTAATATATATTTAACATTCTGTGAAGTTTATTATTGAGAAATAAACAATGTGATTATGTATTATAAAAAAGAAAAGCAAACTCGTATAGGTTAAACCATGAGGATATCACATTTAAAAACATCTAAGAATCACAATAAAATCAGCAAATTACCTTTACATTTATTGCACGATTATATCATTAGGAACGTTATTGAATTCATATTTTCTTTACTCGAAGCGTTACACAATAAATTATGCCATATGTCAAACATGATACTTCTTGCTTTTCTATCGGCGATTCATTCGCAACCCATCGCAATCTTCGTATTCGTAACGTGATTGGTAGATAACCTCAAATTTAATCTCCTACAGATGGCGTTATATTCATATTTGTGTATTTCAAAAGTTAAAAAAAAAGAATCACACACATACACACACACACACA